AGCATCAGCATCAGCATCATCATCATCATCATCATCATCATCATCATCATCATCATCATCCGCCTATTCCTCCTCCTCCTTCCTCCTCCTTCCTCCCCCTCCAATCTCCCCAATCCTCCTCCTCCTCCTCCTTCTCCTCCTCCGATTCCTCCTCCATCCTCCCCCTTCTTGGGGTATGACGTCTTAACCAGCCCTTTATTCCGATACATGCTCCTCCACATCCCTGATCAGGGCAACTCGTATAGCCGTCGTGACTGGATGGGCTGGTGATGCTACGCGAAGCGTCTAGAATTATGTTTATGCTGGTGTATATTCTTCGACGACAAAAACAATCGGACAATTACTTCGCTCTGCCCCAGCGCCCCAGCTACTAGAGAGTGCGTGCGGATTGCCTCTGCCGCGCCACGACGGAAAACAATTCTTCCACGAACTGGGTACGGAACGAATTGTCCTCGATGCCTGGCGGCAAACGTGGCCAAAACCCACCAGCGACGGCTGTGGGGCAGGGGGCCTTGCGTTTCCAGTGGGCAGCGTCCCCGGCGACGCCGACGAGGAGCCCTGCTCAAAGTGGACAAACAGAAACTGCTGACAACACAGTCGGACTTCATTGGAGAGGACACGCGAGAGGACACAAGACCCTTCCGAGGGCCACACTGCCACAGGAGTGTGGGAAGCAGGGGTCGCGAGGCACAGGACACAAGGGTACCCTTGAGCTGGCAGCAGCAGGCCCTTCCCCTCCTCCTCTTCAGTTCCTGTGGAGCGAGCAATATATGTGGTAGACCCTAGGAGGAGGAGGGGGAGGAGGAGGAGGAGGAGGAGGAGGCGGAGGAGGAGGAGGAGGCACAGGGGCCGACTGTGTTCCCCAGTCTTTCGCTCTTTCCGCACCCGCTGCGATCGTGCCGGCTTGCCGAGCTACCGCCCCGTGCGCCCCTCCCCTCCCGGCACAGCGCAGCGAAAAAGGGTGGCAACCCGTGCCGCCTCGGCCGGCGCCTCCAGACTCCTGACCCAGCTTCTCGTCCCCTATAATTAGAGGAGGAAGAACTATGCACGTACACCGATTCTGGCCAGGCCCCTCCTGAGCCCAGGATCGGTGCATACGCCCTCCCACCTTGGCCAGGAAGGCATATGCACCGATCCTGGGCCCAGGATGGGCCAGGCCAGGATCGGTGCATGTGCACAGTTATCTTCGCCCGAATAGTGGCTGCTTCGAGCCGCTGGCCCAAAAAAGCAAGCCGCGGGCTCGATGAAAGCGACGCGGGTGGACGGCCCAATGTCTCCCGTGAGAGAAGCCGCACAAGGCGGCTGTGCACCACCTCCCAGCCGTGGCCCAGGGCTGTGACGAGCCCTGCGCTGGTGCACATGACCCCTGGCCTCGCTCACAATCCTGGGGCCGAAGATTGCCCTGACTACAGACAGTCAGGGAATGCACGTTGGTATAATTTGAAGACCCCCAGCAGAACCCAGGTTGGAGGGAGGGCCGCAACAACGGCAACGACGACGACGACGACGACGACGAGGGCGACGGCGACGGCGACGCCGACAGCGGCGGCGACGGCGACGACGATTTCTATGACGACGGCGAAGGACGACGACGGGAGCAACGGCGATGGGCGACGGCGACGGCGGCGGCGGGGACTGCGAGAGAGCGGGGCAGTTGAAATTCTAGAAGGAGCGGCACAGTTGAATTCTAGAAGACGCCTGGTCCCCCCTTCGTCCCCACCCCCTGCCCTCTTCCGTCGCCCGTTCTGGGAGATGATCGCTGCCCCCAAAGAACATCATACAAGGGTGGAGTGCTCCGACAGGATCGCCCCGAAACCCATGCTGTTTTGGTGTCTCGCAAAGCCCGGGTCCCCCCCCAAAAAAAAACCCACGCGGTTCCCATTGGACGATCCCCACCTGGATCCCCATGGGATCCCCGGTGGATCCCCACCCGGATCCCCCGCCATCGACGCCCGCGGCAGGGTTCAAAATCCCGTTCTGGCACCCCTCCCGAATGTCCTTTTGTCGGCGGTGAACAAGCCTCCCTTCAGTAAACCTCCCTTCAGTGAGCACGGCCTGGGACCGAAATGGACCCGCAAAAATGACGGCCGCGACGCCCTCTCGCGAACCGAAAACGGCCAATTCGCTAATCGACGTGTCAGGGTAGGAGGTCTAGCCACCCCCGACGTGTCCTTTCGGGGGCCCCTGCGCTGGCTTTGCCGTGCCCAGCGCCTGCGAGCTGCCGCCGAGGCCCCTCCCCAGTGGCGCCTGGGCCGAATTTCCAAATCGGCGCCCCTCCAACGGTGACTCCACTGACGGGTACTTTGGCCAGTGACCCGGCGAACCCAACCCTCGCCGATGTGGGCAACGCCGCAATGCCAAAGAGAGTTCCCGAAGTACCCGTTAGTGAGTACCCACGACGGTGCCGCCGGTCAGAGTATACCGAAAAGCTCCGGGGCTGTCTGTGGGGAGGGGCGGTGGCGGTGCACAGCCGCCTCCTGTGGGAGAGAGGGGTGATCCTGCGAGACAGGCAACAATACCGCTACACCCCCGAACCCTCCGGGGTGCGTTCTCACCGTGCCTCCCAGGATGACCCTGCCGGGGCGGCGAGGGCTCTCCGGGACGAGCCGCGGCATCGGTCGCCCCCTCCCCCCCGCAGTCCAGCAGCGGCTGGGAACTCGACCGGCCCCCGGGGGGGGCGGAAGAGGGGGACTGGCTCGGGGGGGAAGCGTTGACTCGGAGATCTCTGAAGGGCGCCCAGGACACACAAAGAAATACACACAAATAAAAACATTCTCCACATTTTCCCATATCTTCGGGGCTTCTGTCTTCCCCCTCCCACTTCCCATACTTTCGCATATCTTCTGGGGACTCGACGACTAATTGTGTCTGTGTGTGTGTGTGTGTTTTTTTCCCCCTCCTGGGACTGGCTCGGGGGGGAAAAAGCGTTGGCTCGGAGAGATCTCAGGCTCCTCTGGCGACGGGCGGGAGGTCCGCCCCCCCATTGGGAGCGAAGCTGGAGGGCTGGAGGAGGAGGAGGAGGAGGAGGAGGAGGAGGAGGAGGAGGAGGAGGAGGACAAACACACAAATAAATACACACAAATGAAAATAGCTCCCAAATTTCCCATGTTTTCTGGGTTTTTGTCCTCCCCCCCACTGCCCATATCTTCCCCTATTTTCTGGGGAATCGAGGATGAATTGTGTCTGTGTGTTTCTTCCCCTCCTGATAGAGGGCTGGAGGCTGGCTCACAGGGGGGGCAGCGTTGCCTTGGTACCGGCGGTGCCTCTCGGGCAGGCAGGCCGGCGAGAGGATCTCGACAGCGAAACCGAAACCGCAGGTTGCAGGGCCCTGCTTGGCTTGGCGATGATTCGGCGATTGGGGGTCGCTACTTCCCCCCACAGGGCCACTCCCCCGTTGCCGTTGCCCCTGACCACACACATGAACCAGCGGCGGCGGCGATGCATCGGCGACGTCGGCGTGGAGAAAATCGGGCTCCACGTCGAGCCGCATCGCCGATGCATCGGCGATGCGGCGCGATTCTCGGACCCCACCTACTTCGACCCCATCTGGGAGGCCTGGATAGACGACCTACTGAGAACCTTCAGACATCTGGAAGCGGAGAACTGTCGCGACTGCGGCGGCGACGGCGCCTGCGACGGCCGCGGGGGCGACGGCGAGGACTACGAAGACGGCGACCGCAACGGCGAAAACGGCGACGGCGAAGACAACGGCGAAGGCGACGGCGACGGCGACGACGACGACGACGACGACGACGGCGGCAGTGACGGCGTCGGCGGCGGCGCCTGTGACGGCCGCGGTGGGCGACGGCGGTGACGACAGCCGCCGCAGCGACGGCGATGAGGGAGGGCCTCTGGCAGCGGGACGTAAGACACGCTCGGCTCCGCGGCCAGCACCGGGGGCGGCACGTACGACAACTGAGAGGGGCCAGCCGGCCAGCCGGCGGAGGGCGGCCGCCGCGCGCACGCGTGCGAAGCCCGGTGCAGCTCGCGAGCGCGCGCCTCGCCGAGCTGCAGGCGGCTCGCGGCGCCGGCACCCCGGCGCACAGCGCACCCTCAGCCCTGGCCTCCGTCCCAAGCGGCGAGGTCCGATCCTTATTCCCCAGCAGCCGTCGATCCTCCTGGATCGATAGGAGGCGGGGGTAGGTCTCGGATGTCTCCACCTGCCCGGCGAATTCCGAGCCCGACCCCCGCCGTCCACCGAGTTGCCTGAATCGCTGATCGGCGAAGGTCGGGCTCGGACTTCGCTGCCGAGTTCCGTTCCGTAGCGGTTTGGAACGTGCCTGCCTGAGGATATCGTGCGCAGGAAAAAAAGGTGTGGGCGGGACAGTGCCAGGAAACAGTCGTCACTCCTCCAGAGGCGCCTCGATTACAGCTTCACCCGAAGAGCGACGAAAAGTGGATGGGGGACTTGTGGCTCAGGCCAACTTCGTACGCCTCCCTGGTCAAAAAACTATTACGTAAACCGACAGGCCAGAGCGTCCGAGTGATCCATTTTGTCCTTTCCTTGCATGGTATTTGGTTGTCTTTGTGTCTTGTTTTTCTCGTTGCGAGAGAAAACACCTTTCAGTCCGCGGGCGCCAAGCGGTCCAAGACAGCCAGACGCCGAGCAGCACAAACCGTGGGGTGCACCGGGAGCGAACTGAGTCACGAAGGCCAACAGAGCGCAAGGGGGAGACCATGAAAGTGGGCGCGGTGATGCCGTAGTAGAGCTTGCATGCGAGCTGCGTGCGAGCAGCGGGGGCCGAGGCCGGCTTGATGAGACAGGCCTTCAAGAGGTTCAGGGCGCCGAGATGAGGGGGGCACCTTGCGAGGAAAACACGACGGGCATCTTTTCGAGGTCCGAGGTTCGAGGCTTCAGAAATTCGAGGCTCGAGGTTTTCGACCGCTTGCGTCCTCTCCCGTCGGTGTTCCAACCTCGCGACTCGTTCCAGCAGCTGCGCCTCGCCGAGAGCGCCCTCGGGGTGCCCAGCTCGTCCCGAACGGCGGCCGGACGCCCGAGCTATGATCGGGTCGGGCGAAAGGGGGGGACAGCAAAGGGGGGGTTTGAGAATCAGCTCACGTAGCTGATTTTCCCGGCGCCTCCCGGCGCCGGAGGCGGCTATGTATCGAGGAATGGGCCCCTCGTGAGGCCGAAACCAGCTGCATGCAGCAAATTTCGTAACCCCCCCTTTCCCAATCCCCCCCTCTCGCCCGGCCCGATATGACCCCCAGCGCAAACGTCCTGTCGTTGCGACCAGAATCACGACGGCCGGTCTTGCCACTCCTGGCCTCCGGGACCCCTCACCAAAAGCCCAGGGGCGGTCAAAGAGCGGCTCGGGGTGGAGGCCGGGCCCCAGGGAAGGGGTCAAGACCTCAAGGGGTCCACGGCGTGGGAGGTCACGACGTGGAAGAGCCCCCCCCCCGAACATGAGTGCCGCTCGATCTAACTGGCGACGGAGCACGCCGTTTTGTATGGAACAAAAGGCCCTTCGCTCATCCACGCGCCTCAGATCCACGTCTGCGTTTCCTCGGCATCCCTTGCCCCGTCGCCTCCCTTCCTCTCCCCCGCCTGCCCCTCCTCCCGCCTCTCCTCCCCCCCCCATCGTCTCCTCGCGTGCTCCCCCACCTCAGGCCCACTCCCTGAATCCCTCCATCCCTCACCTGCCCCGTGACCCCCCCTTCCTGGCGGAGGCGGCGAAAGAAGATGGAGGATCACGGTGAGGAGGCGGGAGGAGGCATGAGGAGGAAGAGAAAAAAGATCCAGAACTCCGTCGTCGTGTTTTTCCTCACACCGTGGAGATCCCAGGAGACCTGGACCCCTCCCCCGTGACCGAACCCTCGTCCTGAGTCTCTTCTGACGATCCCGACGCCAGGCAAGGGCCCTCTGGAGGCCGAAAATGGCCAAAAACCTCCTGACGCGATTTCCTCCTCTCGACGACAGGTGGGAGGAAGGGGCCACCCAGGATTCGGCTACTCCGGATTTCGTAATAAAAGGGAGGGGGTCTCATTTCGGGGGGGGTCTCTTCCAGGCTATCTTGGAGGGCCTGGGGGGGTCTGGGGACGATGTTTTGGAGGGTTCTCCCACGGGGGGGGGTCTAAAACTTCTCGTCTGGGAGGGTTGAGACCCCCTCCCTTTTATTACGAAATCTGGAGTACACGCAAAGAGTGACCCCAGGCAAGAGTGACCCCTTGGCGCGCGGCTTGCTGGCCGCGGCGTGCGGTGCGACGGCCGCGGCCCGCGAGCCTGGGCTTGCCCCCGCAGCGACCCCCGAGAGCCGCGCGCCAAAGGTCGCCCCGGCGAGGAGGAGGAGGAGGAGGAGGAGGAGGAGGAGGAGGAGGAAGGAGGAGGAGGAAGGAGGAGGAGGAGGAGGAGGAGGGGAGGGGGGGAGGGGAGAGGGGGGGGGGGAGGGGGAGGGGAGGGGGGAGGGGGAGGGGGAGGGGGAGGGGAGTAGGAGGACCCCCCAGAACTCCGACGTCGCGACACACCTGCGACCCCAACGGGACCCATTGCCCGGGACCGGCCCTCCATCGCGAGCCGTTCTGCGGACGGTCCTGGGGCCCAGCGAGGGCCCAGCGAGGGCCGAAACCTGCCACCAACACTCCCGTCGCGATGCTTCCACGATGGGTGGGAGGAGGGGGGGGGTTTCCGCGCAGCCGAACGAGACGCACACCGCCGACCCCTCGACGGCGGGCGCACCACGACCGCGGGCGGCATGCAGGGGCCCTGGGCGGGCACGGCCATCGCCGGCACGTAGGACGGCACCTGCGCGCCGGGCGCGCTCTCGGGGCGCGCGGGGGGGCGACGATTTGGGGTCGAGCTCGGGCTCAGGCTGCGTCTCGGGCTCGGGTTCGGGCTCGCGCTCGGGCTGAGGCTCACGCTCGCTTGTAGGGCTCGGGCTCGGGCTCCGGCTCGAGCTTGGGCTCGGGGTGGTGGGCGTGCCTTACTGCACCTGCTGCATGCTGCCTGAGGCCTGCTGCCTCTGCAGCGGCTGCCCCTCATTGACGCAGCCCCCCGCCTCCCCTCGCAGTGTTGAGAAATCACGGCGAGATTTTTTTGTTGTTGCCGTGGTCGGCCTCTGGATGTCCTTTCTGGGCGCTGAGGCCGTCGCAAGGCCGGCTCCGGATGGAGATCTGGTCCCAGGGAGGGGGTCCAGACCTCCGAGGGCCCACGCTGGGGAAAGACAAGCACCGCGCAGCACGCGCAGCGAAAGGGAGGGGGTACCTTGACGAAAAGCAGGGGGCCTTTTGAAGAGCGCCCCCACCGCGTCAGAAGGAGGGGAACGGGGAAAGAGGACACAGGATAGGGGAGGAAGAGTGCGATGGGAGGGGGTCCCTCCCCTTACCTGCCTCCCTCCCCCCCTCTTCCCCCATTCCCATTCCCTCCTCATCCTTCCTCGATCCCTCCGTCCACTCCCCCTCCCCCTCCTCCCCGTCCCCCGTCGTTTTCCTTCTCCCCATCCCTCCTCCTCCTCCTCCTCCTCCTCCTCCTCCTCCTCCTCCTCCTCCTCCTCCTCCTCCTCCTCCTCCTACCCTGTCCATGGCACTCGCAACTCGCAACTTTTCCTCCTCCTTTTCCTCCTCCTTTTCCTCCTCCTTTTCCTCCTTCTTTTCCTCCTCCTCCTCCTCCTCCTCCTCATCCTCCTCCCCTCCTCCTCCTCCTTCCACCCTCTCTTCTCGTCCCCTCCATCCCTCCACTCCGCCTACCCCTCCTCCTCTCCTCCCTCCTCCTCCTCGTCCTCGTCCCCCTCTTCCTCCTCTCTCCCCTCCTCCTCATGCTCCCTCCTCCTCCTCCTCCTCCCTCCTCCTCCTCCTCCTCTCCTCCTAGTCCTTCTCCTCCTCCTGCCTCCCTCCTCCTCCTCCTCCTCCTCATCGCCTCCTTATCGTCCTCCTCCTCCTACTCCTCCCGCTTATGCTTCTCCTCATCACCCTCGTCCTGATCCCCCTTCATTCTCCTTCTCCTGTCCCTCCCTCCCTCCCCTCCCTCCCGCCCTCCCTTCTCGTCCAGTGATCCTCCTCCTCGTCCCCTCCATCTCCTCCACATCCGCCTACCTCTCTTCCTCCTCCAATTCCCCTTCCTCCTTTTCCTCCGCACATCTTCGCAGGCGCGGGAGTGCGCAAGACGACGACGACGACGATGACGTGGACGACGACGAGGACGAGGACGACGCCGACGACGACGCCGACGCCGACGCCGCCGACGCCGATGACGAGCACGAGCACAAGCACGAGCATGAGCACGAGCA